AATGGCACTTCGCTCTTATGTGGTGTGCCAATGTTGGGTTTTTGATGTTTCTGATAACTCTAATTGCAGCTGCTGAGAACTCGTGGGGGGTGAGGAAGAAATCAGGACATGTATCCCCACTCCAAAAAGCAACAGTTAACATTTGCACATAGGAGCATGTGGTGGTGTAAGGACCCTGGACTTCAGAAAAGCAGAATTCAACTCAGGGAACTTAAGGGCAGGATCCCCAGGGAGACCAGTCTGAGAGGGAAAGGAGTCCAGGAGGGTAGGTTGTATTTTAAAGAAACCTTACTGAGGGCACAGGAATGAACCATCCCAATGCGAAGGAAGGCAAGCAAGTATGGCAGAAGATCAGCTTGGCTTAGCAGGGAACTCTTCAGTGAGCTAACACACAAAAAGGAAGCTTACAAGAAGCAGAAACTTGGACAAATGATTAGGGAGGATGATGAGGGAACTGGGTTTATCTAGTCTGGAGAAGAGAAGACTGAGGGTGGATTTAATATCAGCCTTCAACTACCTGAAGGGGGTTTCAAAGAGGATGGAGGTGGGCTGTTCTCAGTGGTGGCAGATGACAGAACAAGGAGCAATGGTCTCAAGTTGCAGCAAGGGAAGTTTAGACTAGATAGAACCTAGGAAGAATTTTCTCAGGAGGGTAGTGAAACACTGGAACATGCTACCCGGAGAGGAGACGGCATCTCCATCCTTGGAGGTTTTTAAGACTCGACTAGACAAAGCCTTGGCTGGGATGATCTAATTGGGGATGGTCTGGGTTTGAGCAGGGGGTTGCACTAGATGACCTCCTAAAGTCCCTTCCAACCCTTATTTTTGCTGATTTTATGTGCTAAGCACTGTGTGAACACACAGACAATGGTCTATGCTATGTAATTGTGTCAGCAGGCATCCGATGGCAAATTTGGTCAGCAGGGCCTTGGTAAGGCACAATTCCTGCACTTAGGACTTCAATAGAGGTCTGTTTTTGTGTCTGAGTTACTCCAGTCCAAGAAGTTTGGCTTTTTAGCCCAAGCTGTTAGCAGTTCATTAATTTAAGCTCAGAAGGTCTTCTGTTTAATCAAGCAGGATGTAGGCTGTCACACTTATAATATACATAGAGGCAAGTAGAGCGTAGGAAAAGGGATACAACATTGAACTGGAATGACTGCAACATGACATGATGAGAATAAGGTCCCTACCCTGAATCGTCCCTACCCTGAATCATGTGCATGCATGCTGTATGTGGCACACCACAAGGGGGCATGACAGCAGGCAAGAAGAAAGCAGTTTTCAAGAAAATTTGTGATTGACTCCTTTTGCTTTGAATGTGTTCCTTTTAATTAGGTTTATTAAGTTAGAATGAGAAATATAGGCCTAAACTGTAATCTTTCATTTTCCAAGGTAGAGACCAAGCTGCAAAAAGTTGCTGTGAAAAAAACCTCACAGGAGTTCTGGCTATTGAGTTTTACTCCCTGTTTTCAGTCCAGTGGCAAAAAATTAAAAAAGCAAAGACAAAGGTGATCTTTGAATTTTAATTTCCATTTTTTTAAAACCTTTTTTTTTGTGAAAATTTTCTTTTCATTGAAAAAATGTTTTTTTTCCACAGGCATTTAGTGCTCAAACTGAGCATCAAAGTTCATAGTTGGGGATTTTGAAAAGAACAGTACAAAGGAATGATCAGTGACAGGACTATCATTGAATACTGAATGTCGATTTTCATGACGCTGCCTGCAATGACATACAGATCTGTTTTGACTGGTTGCTAGGCTCTAAATTAATTAAAGTTTGTATGAACAGTTCAAAATCATTCCAGCATTCATTGATAGCTTCACATTTCATTTGTTTTTTGCTTCCTACTCCTCTGGTTTGGTTATGCCCTTTGGGGGGTACATCTTGATCTTCAGTAGTTTTGACGAAATGTTTTTAGATCCCCTGCCAATTTTGAAACCCCATGGATTCGTCACACTTTTGACGACTATAATACATTAATATGAGCTTTGTGTATCTGTTTAGTAACCTTTTGCCATGGTGAAATGTGACCAGATTTCCCATTCACTATTACTCAGCTTCTTAACCAGATTCTTCCCCTGTCCCCTGCTCCCCATTTGTTTTCCATCATCAAGTCTAACATTAATTTATAACAAAAGGCAAGCGACCAGGTTCTCAACTGTTATGTACTGGTGCACTTCTTCCATTTACTGCAGTTGATGATCTGGCTTAATTTTGAAGAAAAAGAATATCAAGAACCACCAAAACAGTGTTATCTAGAAAAAAGATACCACCCCCCAACAACCCCCTCCTCCCCCCCAAAAAAAACAGCTTGCCAAAAGAAAGTAGCTTATACTAATCAATTTTTTTGGTATTACACTCATGGAGTAATTATATTGGCTCAGACTGGCATTAGACTAAAAACATGTTAAATTACATTCAGCTGCCTCAAAAAATCGAATGAAGAGTCTGTTGGATCAATAGTGGAGCCATTATTCAGGACAACAGAAGGGGTTTTTTTTGTTTGTTTGTCCGTATTATGATAATGCAAAGGGAAGTAGTGCTTTGGACCTTTAACTTACCTTAAGCTTTGCAGGCAATCAGACAGAAATAGGGAGAAATAAAAGAGCTGTAATTTATCTCATAAGCAGCAGCAATTTTTTATCTTAAATACATACTTTCAGAAATATTAGGAAATATAGTTATTATATCTAATAGTTTCTGATTCATGGCTTCCTATGAACTGTGTTTAACAACAGGTCCAGAGAACAAGAGGTGGTAAGTATATGTATGAGAGGAGAGCAAAGGACATTTCCAAACACTGTTACCCTTTCCTGATTAGGGTTGGCAGGAAATTTTTGATGGAAATATTTTTCCACTGAAAAATTAGGCTTCATGAAAATACAAGTGGCTCCTGTCTCAATTGGTGGTCTTGTGTATTTAACAGGAAATGGGACAGGATGGTCTCTCTCTCTGCTGTGGAACTGGGTCACATCTGAATAGTTGGTTGATGACCTTATAATTAAACGTGAATTGTGCAAAAGTAGAAACAACACCAGATGTCTAAAGATAACTGGATGGGAACAGTGCAGCATACAGTGATAAAATCAAAAAGGGCAAGGTACAAAAGTTACCTCTAGTAAGGAACATAAAAGGCAGAAAGAAAAGGTACTATAAATATATTAGACGTCTAAAGAAAACAAAGGAAAGAAGAGGTCTGTTCTTAATGGGGAAGAAAAGGAAACAATGGATGACACAGAGAACCAAAGCAATCAAGGCCTATTCTGCTTTAGTTTTCACAGAAGTAAGGTTATTTTTGACCAGGCACTTAATGCACTGAATGTCAACCAAGGATAAAAATGCAGGCCAGAACTGAGGGAGGCTATTGAGATCAGTTGGATGCATTCAATTGACAAAATTGGATGAAATTTGCCCAAGAGTACTTAAAAAAAATAGTTGAAACAATCTGGAAAGCATTAGCAATTATCTTCAGGAGCATTTGAAGGATGGGGCTATCTCAAAGGGCTGAAAAAAGGCAGAAGTAGAATCTGTGTGTAACAAAGTGAAAAGAAGGACCAAAAGTGATATAGAGCAGTGCACCTAATTTGGATACCCACAACGCTATTAAAACACATTAGTAAATCATCAAAAATAAAGCACTTTTAAAGGGAGGTAAGATGATGAGAAACAGGAACTGTCAAGAGTTTCAATGGCAGGGCATCGGCAGTGCCCTTGTCTCCCTCAGTTTTCCCCTGTGGCATACTCTGGGATATTTTGCATATTGTGCTTTATTGTGAGTGAGGGTCCAAAGTTGTGATTTTGAGTATTTCTTCAGTTAATGTTAGTCATAGGAGTTCAGTCTCTTTATTTGTGACTTTGGGGACCTTTAGATTAGTTGTCCTAAACGTCTACTAATAAAATTCAATATTGCTTCTTAGCATTGGTAATCTCCACGTGGGAAAGGCTAGAGAGTAACAGACAAGTAATACCCAAGTATCCATACTGTACTAAGCTCTTGCAGCTCAAGCACTCCAGCTTGGCAAGCAGCAGTGTCTGATGGATATACATCATGACAGATCCACTAGCTGTAGTCCACTCCAATGTAGTTGTAGAATAGCAAGTAGGGAGCATATGCCCTGGCACGCAGTAATTTGCAGGGAGCATGGGTAACCTAGGCAAGGGGGTCAGTTTTTTCCCCCATTAGCATAATTGAATTACTACATCTAAGACCCCTCTGCAGCCATCAGAGTGGCAAGTAGGATTTGTTCCTAACAGCTAGGTCCTGGTTCCTTTGCAAACCGTGGAATTTTGCTACTTAAATAGGGTGAAGCTTTGGCTCTGAACTGTAATTTTTGCTAAAGACTGATATGTACAGTTTATGCACTGGCACAAATTAGCAGTTAAGCAGCCAGGGAGATTTGGTTTCATGTTTATTACCCCATCTGTGGTTTGCCACAGGCCGTTTTTAACAGCGCGCTCCCAGTCTTCTTTCTAAACATTATGTCACCATTTTATTGCTCTCCCTGGATCCTTTGCTAGGCAAGAAGAGGAGGAAAGCACAATTATTCCTTTTGATGCAGTTGCATTGCAAGCTTTGGCATGGCTGGGTTTGTGGGGGGAAGTGATCCTGTGCGCTAGTGACAAAGAAAGTGTCTGATTTACCAAGCGGAACAGATGCTTTTATTCTATCAGCCTGCAGTTGCCAATATAAGGTCCCATGCAGATAACAAGTATGACGTCAAATCTGGTTTCAATGCGGCTCTGCCATTCAATTAACACATTGCCCACAATGTCTGTAGTAAACTAGAGCAGAGGAATTCAGTTACAGGAGAATGATGTGATCATATTCTCTAGGGAATGTATGCAGTAAAGAGAACTGTTTTCTTAAATTTTGATCCGTATGCACTAACATGAAGAAATGCCAAGATCTGCCCTTAGATCTAGTCTCTGCCTTTGTAAAGCCGTTTATATTTGTCTGGTTTTGGTATGTCCCAATTATCCAGCAAGATCATGACTACAGACCATTCAAAATGAACCTCTTCTCTTCCTGCACTGCCCCTGTGCTTAGGGAAGTTGCAATCATTTTCCTGTAATGCAGTAGACTGAGATGGAAAGAAAACTGTGATGAGACCCCTTCTGGTTTTATATTTGATCACGTTCCGTTTTTCAGGGAGAAGCTGGCTTGGATGCAGCAGTGAGGGAGGTGATATCATGTCTGCCGTTTGGCCCGGGTGACTGTGCATTCTCCTGTTTTGAAATGGATTTGAATATTGCTGAACAAGGACCTGGGATTCAGCCCCTAAAGCACTTTTATTTGGCTTCTCTACAGAGATATATATTTGTAAATGAAATCAGGGAAATACCCTACTGAAACATCTCGTTTTTGTGACTACTCAGCGAATTCTCAGGCCTGGGTATGTGGTTCCCATTCTTCCTATCTATATTTGTCTGTGATTTGTATGACTTTGCCAAATATGTTATGACACAAAGTGCTTCACTCTGGGCCCTTGGGCTGTTGAGTGAATTTCCTGATCTCTAAGTATCTCATGCAGGGGAGAGTTTGCACACCCTTGGTTAATCACTGAGGGAGATCTGCACGGCAGTTGTGCTTTTCTTGAAAACAAACAGCATGCCTACCACTGTCCATCTCTGTTCACTGGACTTGTTATATGGGAATTTATGCATGGTGGTGTATCACTCACCAGCAGTGACACTGCGGTGTCTGGTATGGGGCATGATGGATAAGGGTACAGCATTCAGCAAGAACAGTGAATTGAAGCCTTCATCAAAGCCAGGCCTGGCTAGAGGAATGTCTCCACCCTGGAAATGACTGCAGTCCATGAAACAAGTTTCGCTTGACTATTTCAACATTTATTTTTACAGTGGTTGACCTTCAGGCACCAACCCATAGCCCCATTGTTAAAACTTTACTTTGACTTTACTCCTACTTATAACTTCCTGCTTTAAGTTATAAAACTTGGTTAGGGGTTCAATGTGAGCCACACTTTTGTTTAGGGGCAAGTGCAGCCTTTGGACCATCCCGGCGATCAACTTTAGACCTGTAGGGTATAACCTAGATTTGAACTCCTCTAAATAGGAAATCTACTGGGTCCGAATTTTACAGCTTGAGTCTATTTCTACTATTATGAGAGATATTGAAACACTTCTGGAGAACTCAAGAGGGCTAAAACTCTTATGTAAAATATGGCAGAGGTTAAACTCACACGCACATGAGATATGTAGCAAGCTAGTGCTTGCAACATAGGGTAATGAAAGTGAGAAGCTGGGTGGGGGCCCATCTATGTCTGTTGCAAGCCTGTTGACTTCAGTGGTTGCACCAATGTACTTATTTGGCCCTGAGAGTTATGGGGAATAAGAGTGATTTATTCCTGCAGTCGCTGCTCTGTACAGTAGCTGAAGCACCCCAGATAACCAAGACTTTTTTGTCCCAAGGCTGAACAGTGTGAAGGCACAAAGTGTCCAGTGTTGGATATTCCCATACAAAGAAAGAAGAAAGAATGACCAGGGTAGAGCTCATTTGAACCATGATTGGACCAGGTAAGCTTTTTGAATCCCCTTATTATGTGGGGGGTCTAATCTGGAGTTTAGCCAAAATATGGAATGGCATAAATGGAAATGCAGTAGCTTAGCGTGGACTGAGGAGACAAATTAAGTAGTCACAGGAGAAGCTCTGGCAGATCTTAGGGAGTGAATAGGAGATAAGGGTAGAGCCCTTGGGAGCTTGGGCAGTGAGGGAGAGAATGTTAATGTTAATGTGGGGGGAGAGGAGAAGGTAGAGAGGGGGAAGAGTGTGGGGAAGAGAGACCTCCCAAAAGGGGCATTACTTCTGTGATAAAAGCGAGCCAAGAGAAATGAGATGCACGCTGGGCAGAAAGGAAACTATAAAGCTATGTTGTCTGCACCTTCCCTGCAGCTGCTGTCAATGCTGTCTGCTGTCTGTTAACAGGAGGTAGGTTTTCCCGCTCTGAACTAGCTGTTGCCTTTGAAGTGGTCTCCTAAGGCAAGCACATCCCAGGTGACTGAAAAGTCTGAAATGCCTAAACCAGAGAATCCTGGTTTGTCTGTAGCTTTACATGACCCCAGCACTGATGCTGTGTTTTGTGTTTGTATAGGGAAAAATACACTCTATTCTGTGGTTTTTCTTTTTCTTGTTTTCTCTCTTGTTTCCCACCGAAGTGCTGGGTTTAAAGTAAAAGGTGCTGGGGGGAGGAGGAAAAATATTCATCACTTTCCTTTTAAGCTTGGGCAATGTGCTTGTTTTGCCTCAGTTTCTCCAATGAAACTGAGGTGCAGAGAAGCTTACTTCTGAAACCAAGCATGTTACTCATTTGAGCTGGTGCCAGAGGGTGGGATCAATGGGATGACGGCAGGGCACATGTGGGTACATATGAGCTCTCAGAAGAAAGCTACTTTTCAGTGGTGCCCCTCACCCCCCAATACTAGATCTCTTGTTTTGATAAGGTTGAGTACACACGCAACCAGCTAAGCAGGCAGGAGGAAAAATGTTTAAAATGGTATATACATGCAGACACAAGTGCACCATTCATTATGCCAGAGTATTAGAGCATTACTCCTTTAACTGAGTTTTCTGCCCTTTGCAGGCACTTTCTGTAAGCATAGAAATCTTTTCACATAGCACATGTTGCATCAATTTCCTGTTTGACTGTGCTTCAGCTGATGAATATGATATAGTCATTTAACTGGATTAAATTTCATTTATACTTATGGATTCTATTACAGCAATCCTGCGTGTAACTGGGGAGTGGCATTGATGTGTTTGGCAAGGGAGACCTGTCGAAACTCCTAAGGATGGCAGCCACAGTCTGGGAACCTGGGTTAGGGGTGAGATGGGAAATGGGCTGAAGAAGCAATGGGTATTTGTGGAGAATTATGTCGATTTTGCTAGAAATGTAAATGAGTGCCGGGGTGTAATGTGACTGTGGTGCACATGTTCAGATGTTTGGTTTGGAGGAACATCCGGAGATGCTGGCAACTGATCTGAAATGTACAGGCTTTCTGATTCAGCCGCATTTAACTGAAAATGGGATGGAACGGTCTCTGTCTCTGCTGTGGAGCAGGGTCACATCTGCTTCGGGCACCATCTGGAACTTGCAAATGAAGGGCAGAGGTGTATTGAAAAATGAACATGAAAATAGTTTGTATGGTTTTTTAAGCTAAACATTTCCCCAAACATTTCTCTAGGTTCCAGCTGGAAGTTCTAGCTTGTTTCGGAACATATCTTTCTCTTAGGCGCTCTAAATGTCTATTTGTGTATTCCTTATCTAAACTGGGTTTTCCTTTCTCCTCTACCCATGCATTGCACTATACTTGTGCACTGCCCAACATTAATGGTTCGGTATTTCAGTGACTGCAGAACTTGGCAGGTGTATATTTACAATTCCCCTGACCTTCTCTCATTGGGGAAAATGGCAAACCTCTTGTTGGCTTCAGGAGAAGCAAAATCAGGCTCATTAACTGACTAATTGCCTGCACAGTGTAAACAGTAGTGTTTAATTATGGGATGATTTTTCTTGTTGTTTTATTGATTAAAATGTGTACATGTGGAAACAATGCCTAAAGAAGCCAATACTAATATGGCATGTCTTGGGTATACGTTGGTCTCAGAGGATTGTGGGGAGGCATGACCTAACAACACTTGTTTGGGTGTATACCATATTCCTTCAGAAACAGAAGCAGAGGCCAAAGTGTCGTCATTTCTTTTCTTTCTTGCAGAGCTAAATTGTGACTCCTGCGCAGGCAGAAAAGATCCTGTTAATAGCCCTATTGAAGACAATGAGATTACTCTTCACTGTGAAAAAAAAATCATAATCTACTCCACAACAAGGAGAATGTTTTTTTTAACACGCTGACTTGGTTTTTCCTGGCTGCTTCCTTGCAATAAAAGAGGAAAGGAGGGAATTCATGAATGTGGAGTGTTTGATTTATAACAGTCAAGCTAAGAGATCCTGATAGAGACATTTTATTCACCATGTCACATGAAAGCCAAGCAAATGGAGCTGAGAAAAATGGTTCCTTGTCTTCTCCCTCTTCCTCCATCTTCTACTGTAAGAACCACTTAGTGAAAGGTAAGCAAACAACCTAAGTTGCCAATTACAAACAATGAATATTGAATCAAGTATCATTAAACTAAGAGAAGATGCATTTTTTCAGGGTTGTTTATCTTTTATCTTGGGTGCAGCATCTTGGTACATGAGTATGTCCTGTTCTGGACTTGAGCTAAATGCCGCTGCTGGTCGGCTCAGCTGTAAATGGACTTGGTCAGGGAGTCAAAGGCAGCCTAACATGATGCTAGCCACAGTTGGCTGTGCCTTAGCCATGTTAGCCTGATGGGTCTCATAGGCTTTGGTGGACTTTGATCTTTATTCATTTTCTGTTTTGGAGGGCTTACCTTGGAACCCTATCAAAAGGGCTGATTTTCTAGGAATGGTGAGTGTCCACATGCTGAAAATCAGGATCATTTACAGCTCCTCAACTTGGGCACTGAAAGTTTTGAAAATCGTGGCCTTTATTTGTAAAATGAACCCCTTCCTCAGCTTATGTTGGATAATGCAATACTCCTTTACAGACTGACCATAGTTCTGAATCTATATAATAATAATAATAATAATAATAATAATAATAATGAATCCTTATATAACATGTCTCATGCACAGACTGCAAGGGAAGTTGTTGAATCTCCATTATTGGAGGTGTTCAAGAAGAAACTTGACAGGTATTGGTTAGGAATGATCTAGGCATAGGTATGCTTATGTTCTGCTATGGGTATTTCCCATTTTTCTGAGCTTTGCTGGTTGCTGCATGGAACCAGGAGGGAATTTTTTCCCTGCCTGCTGCTGATTTTCCTCACTAACATTGGTTGTTGGTTGCATCCAGGGCTGGGGATTCTGTCTTGGATGTGCCAGTGCTCCTGCTGGAACTTAAACCCAGAGTCCCTTGGCTAGAGGATCTTGCCCCTCCACTCAGGGTCAGACCAATCCCTATATTTGGGTTCAGGAAGAAATTTTACTCCATGGTCAGATTGTTATGGACTGTTGGGGAAAGGGGTTGGGTGAGTTGTCTTCCTCTAGCAGGGGGTGTGGCCCTCATCCTGGGATCTCTGGAGGGTATTTTAACAACTTTTGCAGCAATAGGATAGTGGTTGCTGTGGTCCACTTCCTTTATCTGTGGCAGATTAGGGCATTATGTCTTGTGTTGTGTCTGGGTTGATTGTGTAGTTTTGCTAGGTTAGACAATGGATTTGTGTAAGATGGTTTGGATAGGAATGACCCTGCCTCTGGCAAGGGGTTGGACTAGATCACCTCTGCAGGTCCCTTCTAGCCCTGCTTGTCTATGATTCTACAACAGACTGAAGTGATTTGTCCATGCAAATCCCCAGCTGCAGGACAAGGGGCCAAGGTTTCAAAGTGACTCCTAAATTAAATGAATAAGGGTGGCAGATGCTCAAGCCCTCTGGAATTCAGGCCATAGTCATATCTGTAGAAATGTCTGCTCATTCTAAGTACTGTCATTTTTGGTTGCCCAGCTTGAGACATCCAGGAGCTAATGCCTGATTTCCAGAGGTGCTGAGCATTCATTTGCAGCTCTTGTCAACTCCAGCTTCAGCTGTGGGTTTTAAGCCCCTGTGAAAATCCTGGACATTTAAAGTCAGGTACCCAATATTATTAGACTTTGTGCTGAGTAACTAGCCCAAGTCACAAGATGAGTAAGTGGCTTCATGTCTTTCCTGCGCTTAATCCTCTAGACCAGTGTTTCTCAACCCAAGTGTTGCGACCCAAAAGTGGGTCTCGAGAATATATGAAAGGGTTGTGAACAAACTTAAAAAATGAATTCTTCTTTAAAGGAGAAAGATGTGGGGACCATAGCTTTTCTCTTGCAGGCTTTCAGAGTTCCAGCCTGCTAGGGGCTGCTAGGGGCTGTTTGGGCCCTCCCCTGCCCCACACACTGGGGGCAGGAGCCTGAGGGCGGGGGTCAGTGAGTTGAAAGTGAGAGGCACTGGGTTGGGACTGGCCATCAATGTTTACAAATGGGTCTTGGTACAAAAAAGGTTGAGAACCACTGGACTAGACCACAGTGCTGTATTGTGATGAAACAGTTAACTCAGAAACCAAACGGAGTATTGTTACTTCACATACTCAACAGATCTTGAAATACGCTTACTCTTCAGTTTTTTCTTGTAGATGGATCACACCCTCACGGTCTGAGAAGGAATTTGGTTTCCTTGCTGTTCCCTGGCCTGAGGCAATTGTTGGGTAGTGTAGAAAATAGGTGGGTGCTTGCTGGATTTATGTGGGGTGGGGCCGAGTGCACAGAATTCTGCCTTATTCTTAGCCAGTGCAATAGTCCATTGGAGAGTGCTGCAGCCAGCATAATTTAGTGCAGTCCCAAGTTCCCCTGGCTGGCCCACCATTGAGGGAATGGAAGTAAATCAACAGCACTGAACAAAACAGACAATGTTGATTCATTGAACTTGAAGACTAGGGACAGCCAGTCAAAAAAGTCTGAATTGATTCAATTTTTGCAAGTTAGTCTACCCTGCAGAGCTTGAACAGATTTCGAGGTGGATAGTCATTCACTTTTAAATAAAGAAATACAGGCACATGCCTGTGGTGGCTCAGGCTAGGAGATAGGTGGAGTGGGGGAGGTGCTACAGCAGCCCTCCCATCCCTTCTACAATGCTGAGCTAAGGGGTGGGGGGTGTGGTCAGGCCTGGGCAGGATGCTTTGATTAGGGATGGGTTTTCCCCTGCCTGCACAATCCCAGGCACAACCCCAGGCTTTTTCTGGCTTGCTGCTCAAGGGATAGGAGTGTTGCCAGACCTTGGCCCTTGGCTAGCACCCTAAGGCACTCCCTGCTTCTTCATACTGTCTGCAGAAAACCTGACAGGCGAGGGAGCCAGCAGGGAGCTGGTAACACAACATTTATCAGCCCATCAAGAAAACAAAGCCTCTCTCATTAGTTCAAGCTCTTCTTAAAAGCTTTTTCCAAGGAAGGAATGGAGGGACATTACTAGCTGACCTGTTGATTAGCTCCAAAAAGCCCTAAGCAGACACTGTTCTGTTAGCCTTTCTCCCAGAGAAACAAGGAGACACACATGCACAGACACCTCTCAGCATTAGCTAGCATGGGGGTGGTGTGAATGTCACCAGATACAGGCTGGGCTCCATGCTGTGGGAGAGGGGAGGTAGGGAGTGGGGGGGTATCTCTACTTGAGCTGCGAGTTGCGAGGGGGGATGGGGCAGGGCGAAATCAGGAAGGTGCTGATGTGCCTGCAGTCTCCAACTCCTCAGCCAGCTGGAGCAGTGATAGTGCTCAGGCTAGGGGAAGAGGGGTGGGGTCAACCCTGCTCTCTGGAGCAGACAGCACAGCCCAGCCCAGGGCTGCAAAGCATCTGGGATGCTGGGGGACTCTGATTTAATTTAAACCAGGAAGGGGTCTGGGACAGAAGTTCCATAACCGGTTTGACCCAAATCAGTTAAGTCTAATACTACATTCAACCAGGTTTATGTCAAACCAGTTTCAGCCATTTTGAAACTGGTTTATGTGCACTGAATATATGTTCTGTTACAGATTTAAACTGGTTTTTGTTTACTTAAACCGGTTACGTGTAACTTCTGTCCCTAGCTGAAATGTTCTTCTAAAACATCTCAGGTTGGATGAACTTTTTGTTCACTAAAGGCAGGGTTTCCTGGAACTTGGCCTGAGTTCATAACATGTTGTTGAATACCCCAGTGTTTCTCGAGTCCATGGATTCAGGGAAGCCCCATCAGGAGGACTACCTCAGCTCCAGGCATCCTGATGAACATATCTGGGAATGCTCTAATACAGGGATGGGCAAAATACGGCCCACGGGCTGGATCTGGCCCATTCTATCTGGCCTGCAGGGCCCCTAAAAAATTTAGAAAATTAAGATTTATCTGCCCTTGGTTTCCATCAAAAATGACAGGAACCAGGGGCAGTAAGACCCAGGTGAAGCCCTGGTGGGCTCCTGCAACAGCAGGGCCTGCCCTGCCTGGGACCATGTGGCTGCTCTGGCGTGGGAAACTCAGGTAAGGGGAGGGGGGGAAGGGCAGGGGAGGACCCCAGGGAAAAGCTGAGCATGGGGAAAAGCGACCCTTCCCCTGCCC